AGATCAACAACACTATTTCAGGTAAGGCCGCGTTCATACTTTGTGACGCTAGGAGGACCGCAGTCGATCGATTCCCATCGAATTCACTGATGCACATTTTCCCACGGATCGATACTCATCCTTTCTTTTGCGCATCCATCTTTCTCATCTTCTTTTCTCCGATTTCCTCGCCAAGTGTTTGTGCGACCTAAAAATTCCTTCTTGGCGAGCTCTAAAAGATCACAGAGCAGCTCTCGATAAAGATTCCATGAGGGGTCAGAACTGCACGATTGGAGGGTCTTTCTAGGGGAGGGGCAAAAATATTCATGTTAAGGAGGCGCAGTTCGGCATGGTGGGGGCACCGAATGGTGCTCGGCTATGCTTGTGCAGGCCAGCTTGTGAAAACTTGTAAATTCCTGTGACAAAAGTGTCTTCTTGCGCGACTGCGCAATTTCACAAGAATTTACAGGTCTCACGAAAATGAGACCACTTATTCAACATGAGCTAACAAAAGGCACCAGCAAAAGTGCAAAATGCCCCTCCAAGCCGATCAGCGCCAGGGCTTTCAAGGAGGCTGACTTTCTGAATAACTTCTACTGTTTCTTTCCTTGTTCACTATGTGTTGAATTTAGAGTATAAAAAACAACTTCCAATGGGACTACCAAGCAAACCAATTGGCGAACGACCGAATCCGTTCAAAAATGGAATAATGGAGGAGAGAAAGGATGAATCAGAGGTGGGACAGACTCTTCTGAAAGCTGGATGACTTCGTTCCTCTCAATAGGCTTCATTTCAGCCAGATCATGACACACTCCAACTGCTAGCATATCGTCAAATATGTCTCGTCCCTATCGAGACGATTCTCTCCATGGAAAATGCCGCTCGTCTTCTACCTCAGGTGATCGACTCGGTGAAAAAGCTCATCCTTGCCACGCCAGATATCACAATTCGGCATCTTGCTGTACAGATTATAGAGATGACTATGTCCTAGAGAACCTATGTGATTCAAATAAACTATTCTTTTCACTATACTTTAGTGGATCTATCTTAACCAAATCACGTACTCACTGTCTGCGAAACAAAACGGTGAAAGTAGCAAGAGCAACAAAGTAAACAGCAAGAAGCATAAGCAGTGGGTACGTTGGCTGGTTGGCAAGGAGGCACGGTAGAAGTTTAAGCGTTATCGATGCAAAGAATTTGGGGCTATTAACTTCAGTACCTGAGGAACATGGTCCGTTCTGTTCTACATCCTGCCCATGGCACCCAATCCTCAGCCCTCGGCTCAGCCATGCATTGGCGTCTATTCTTGGTCTGGTCCTCATTCGATAGATGGTCCCAGCATTGACGGTGCGAAGGAATTAGTGAG